AAAAAAAAAAAAAAAAAAAAAAAAAAAAAAAAAAAAAAGAGAGAAAAGCATCCACAACCACTCGCCACCCCAAGTTTTCTCCATAATGGAGACAAGAATACAAGGTTTTTCCTCTAACCTCTCTTTCACACCCAAAAATGGCTCTAAAAAAATTTTTGTACACATAGAAATTTACGGCAAACTAATAAATGTATAACCCAAAATACACCTGAAAATTGGGGAATAAGTATACAATATTATTAGGCATTTAGGCTCCATACTGTTGAAAATTATTTTATTTGTGTTGAAAATTATTTTATTTGTGAACATTCAATTAATACACACATCTTGTGGAAAAAAATTACTTGACCATGCAGAGCAAGGAATTAAAGTTTTACTCTTCTTTCCTAGCTACAAGTCATAATATGCACCAGTCTTGTGGAAGTACATTTTCTTGATTCCTGTACCTTGCCAAGCTTCACTAAGCTTGATGGAAGGGAGCTCCAAGATATTCCGCTTTCTGCCCCTTTTCTGTCATGGACTAAACTGAATAATGACTTTGACATCTGCACATTATCAACTTTTGATACAGGAGTTTGGCCTTTGTTGGAAACCTTAACTATTCTTTTAGCTGAAGCAACATCTCTTCTTTTTGACTTGGAACTCAAATTGTCATCAGAGCTACAGTACCTCCCAGAACGTGCAGGTGAAACCTGTTTATATCAATATAATGAGAATGGATTTTGCCTGGATCAAATTACCAAGGTGCATTGAAATCTGTAACCTGCTACTAATTCGAGATATAATATTTTATAGCCAACTTCTACCGATTAACCATCTGTTTTAAGCAAGCATGAGAACTTGATTTAGATACAATACTTGGTGGTCATTTCCACTTCCCAAATTGTCCCACAATAGACAATCTAACATTCAAATGTCATTTTCAAAAATTTATCTCATTTTTTCAGAATATAAGCAGCACAAGTTTATTAACTGCAACTAGTTTCAGAAAATAATAGTTAATTCTAACCCTTGCAGCCTTTTCCATTCCACAGCCACTAAAATTTGCTAATTTACCAAATTTTAAACACCATCTAGCCCTTTGCTGATCAAAAAGAGACTCCAATTAAATAGATAAGGAAGAACGAGAAACTCACATTTGTGCTACGAGCTGTTGGTCTAATTTCAGGCTTGGCAACTGAAGAATCAAAAATTTCCTTGACTTGCAAAATATCTGACTCAGTCCAGCTTCTTCTCTTTGAAGTGTGAGTTGATGATAATACACTATCTGAATCACTATCATTATAAACAGAATGCGGCCTACTTGTTTTCACTTTGGCACCAACATTACAACTTTTCTTCTCAATAGGAGGTATTCCAATATGGCATTTTTCTTTCTTGCTTTCACCTGGATGGGCTTTTGAAGCACTCAAAGAGCGAACTCTTTGTCGAGATCTACCCTCCAAGCCCTCGGTTCCTTTTATTAACGACTCCGAATCGGAAAATCCTCGTGCTAACTTGCTTGAATCTGATGAACTTTCAGACATCTTTTTCTCCAAAATGACACCCTTTTCGACAATTGAATCGATGTTAGATGCCTGAAGAAACTTCATCAAATTTCCAGGTGAAACAATATCTTCAGGAGTTCCCTCACACGGATGCCTACCTGGAATAGGGTTTATGCCTCTGAGCAATGGAACTGGAGTAGCCTTCTCCAACTTTTGAACATATACAAATTGCCCTAGTTTTAATTTGTTACCCAAAATCATCTCATCCTCTTCTTGAGGCAAAGAAACAAACATTTGGTGTGCCATATCTGAAACCTTTAAGAAAAATCCTCTATTAGGCCATAGATTACCTTCTTCCAATACAGGAATTATGCTTCTGATTTGTAACAGTGCAGGTTTCTGCACATCGTCCAATTCCTTTTCTTCCATTTCCATCTCATGGAGAAGCTTTACAAGAACCCCATTCTTCAGTGAAACCATAGTTATGCTAATAAGCAATTTATCAAAAAATCCAAATAAAAGCCCAAAAGAAATCAGACAAAATGGAGAAATGGCGATATGGGTTAAATCAAATGGTCGATATAAAGTCCCAAATTCTCAAAAACAGCCCGATTCAAGTCAAATTCAGGATATTTTCTTCGATTATTTATCAGAAACATCCAAATGAAATCCAAAAGAATAAACCAAACACGAGAAAATGGCGATATGGGTTTGATCAAATGGTTGATATAGAATCCAAATGCCACAGAAACAGGATGGTTCTAGTCAATTTCTAGATTATGTTCTTCTTAAAAAAGAAGTAGAAAATCGTCGGTCTGACAATTCTTGGCGATAAATCAATTTAAATTCCCTAAGAAAGAAAACAGTAGAGAAATTATTCTTCCGGAAGAAGATAAACTAATTGGGTGCTTGAAGGATCCGAAAACGAGGGAAGAGAGTGAGTGGACCTGGAATTCTGTGAGGATCTTGAGCAGAAAAAGAAGAGCCAACTAATAGCGGGAAAATAGAATGTTGTTAGAAGGGTCGACCGCTGCATATCCAACGGCCAAGATAGCATAACTACCGGTCCGTCCATCGCTTATGAATAATGCTATTCATAGTAGGATTATCGGTAATCTGTCCCAAGTAATATAGGTGTATGTCAGTTTATTATTTGATACATGATATAATAAATAATCATCATATTAATACGTCAAATAACAAACTGCTATATGTATGCCATATAAAACATTATGAATAGTCCACAATAGGAACAACATTATTCATTGTGTATAGGAAAGAAAGATGGTACGGCTAAGATGTCGAAATATTTTATCTAAAAGTATAAATCTTATTTTCAAGACATGTTTTCATTTGTACAAACATTGTTTCTCATTATAAATTTTACACGATATCATGTTGAACCACTTAATTTATCAATTGTAATTGTCGAGTAAGTTCGTGTGTATCATTTAAATGATATCTTTAATAGAATGAATACAATTTCACGTCAAGTTGACTGAATGATAAGTAATTTAAACATTTTTTCAACAAAAACATGACATCCTCAGTTTCAACAAAGATTCTTGGAATCATCGTTAATCTTTGATAAAGCATTTCGATATAGACATTTCGCTTTTAATTTTATTTTGATCGTCTCTCAATACTCTTTTTTTATGTACTAGAATTGTTATAATAATAATAGATATGGATATGGATAGAGATAGAGAGAACGTCAATCTCATTGTCTATAAGTTTTAAAAAAAAAAGTCTATTTACCGGAATATGAAATTGTGCATTTTGACCTAAATATAACAGCGCATTCAATCAGCCCACGGCACGCCAGTTGTAGATGAGGATGAAAACAAAGTCAAAATTTGCCTTCTCTTTGAATAAACACTCTTCCTATGCAATGACCAAATTAGCCCGCCCTTCATTTGAATTGCCCGAAACAAAATTTTCCGTTTGTCTTGTGATTGTTTAATTTATTGAACAATTTTGATATACTAGCATAGTTACATATAACAAGAAATAAAATATTACGAAGCGCAAAAGCTTGTTCACGGAGTTGGAGGGGGAGGAGGTCGGATCTGTATAAATTTCAAGTCAACTTATAAATTTTTTAGGTGAAACCATGAGTAGCGACAAATTACATCTAAAAAACGAAAGGTTTGAATATGTATTCTCTAGTCTCAAGGATGCGTAACTATCAAAAGGCGAAGTAGCACGTGCAAGTTAATCTCATTACATTTTTTTTCCTGGTTCAAGGATATAAATGGAATTATAAGAATTCTAATATCCTCAAGATTCCATTAAATTTTCAACTCCATTGACCGTTAGTCGTATAAATAGATGTCAGCTAGTAGTTCATTGCTACATTCATTACATAACAAAACATAGTATAAAAAATATATATATTATTCAATATGGAAGGCTTAATCCCATTTCTCCTCCACGCCATGAAGAAACAAAGGCCTCAACATTCTTACCGGTCCCTCTCCGAGAACTCCACCCGCAGCTACCACCTTCTTCGTGGTAGAGAGTCGATCGAGGGATCATCTCACCGGAGAACACGGTCGGAGTTTCAGCCGCCGAGCGTTGATTTCCTCGAGCAGCGATCATCAGGCTTGGAATACTTTTCGCACGCGAAAAGTTTCAGCAAAGGTTGCAAGTCCTCTCCTAATGTTGATAATGGCTCAAGGCAAAGGGGTCCTATTTCTACCACCAATCTTAAGAAGTAAAAGTGTTTGGTAGTTGTTATTATTTCATGTGTTCATTGTGTCAGTTCAAGAATTCTTTATAGAATGATAGTTTGTGTGGGTAAAAAATTTCGGAGAATTGAAAATAAGCATAGATTTAGATTTCTCAACGGAGAAACCTATGTAATACTTGTCGGAACAAAGTGTATATTTGGTTTGTATTTCATATGTAGATATTAATGTTGTTTAGATGTGTGAAGATTTTAAAATTGTGAAATATAGACATTTTCAAATAACTATTTTAGCAAATACGTATGTTTTTGTTTTCATAGAATCGGGATCTCAAACAATAAAGAGGATTAAGGGATTGTGGGACTTTTGATTAAAATAATAATAAAATTAGTAAATGTTTGTGTTAATGTATGTTTGAAAGTTAATAAAAATTGTGTGTTCAATTAAATGTAGAGTTAAAATTGAAATTTGATCTGTTAAAAAATCGATAAAATATTTTTCAGACAATTACCAAAGAGGGGAAAATTGATAGACTTTGGAAACAATTTAATTCCTATCGATATTAATAATATAATTTGAAAAGTGGTGGGTTTTGAATTAGACACAATTTTGGTGGTCAAGTTGGATAGGTCTTTGCTGTGTTTGGTACAACTCACGTGCAAAGCAAATGTTAAGTGGGAAATATTTACTATTTAAGGAGCTGTTAAATACTTATCCAAAATGTTATATTCCAAAAAATCTCCGGCTGCTCACTATCATTCTTTTCATACAAAAAATTCAAGAAAAATCGGTGAAAAGATGTGATGACGTGTAACTGAAGATGGTGGATTTGAGTGATAAGATTTCGACTATCAATAATTCTAGTTCAACAAAGTTGGGTACAAAAGTGAATTTATAAAGTGTGTTGGCATAATCCAGACCACTGATTTCAAATTATTTAAAAATTTGTTTTTGAAATGATTGATGTAAATCCAACTTTATCATCCAACTTTATCGAAGTCCTTTGCAATGGCATAACTCTTTCGACTATAAGTCAAGTATCTTACCCGACTAATCAAGTATGTGGTTGACGGGGCTTAACACCTGATAAGATTTTATCTAAGGTTACATAGTCGACTTGAGTGGGTCAAAAAATTTATTCACCAAAAAAGTTGGCGGTGGTGAAGAAGAAGAGAGGTTTTTATTTTATTTTTTCTATTTTTTTAATAATTTGTTTAGAAAACGTTTGAACTTTTTAAAAATATTGGGACTATAGTTGGAATTAATTCTTTATTTTTCTTTCTTTTTTTTAATTTAAAATGAAGGGTATAATCTTTATTTTGCAGCGTTTTATTGAGAAATTGGATAAAAATGATGTTTTGTGTAATTAAAGGTGTCGACGTTTTTCAGTTTTTACAATTAAATATCAAAATAATAGACACATTAAGACAGATAAATAATTACGAACTTGCAAATTTGAAAAAGATGTAAGAAGAAAGCATGATCGTTCTATGGAATACACCAGAATTCACGATCTTTTGCTTTTTGCATATATGACAAGAATTGCTTTTGGTAGGAGCTAACGAACGTCTAGTTTGAACTTACATTTTCAAAAACACTATAGCCATTGCAATATAAATAATAAGTTAAATATACTTATTAATTTCTTATATGTAAGCATTTCCAAACTCGTGTCAAAATAAAACAAATAAAGCAAACAAAGCTCGTACGAAAACTATTTCAAGCCAATTTTCTACATAAATAAAAGAGCGAAGCACTGGTGGGACACATGTTGCTCATATCTTTCGTCATGTACACGTGAATATCATACCGTTTGTCCATTATTTTAGGCTAAATCATTCATCTGCTCTTTCTGATTGATTGTGTGATAATACATGATTTCTGCGCGAAGCTACCCTGATTCATCCCCTAATTCATTGAGTTTTTCTCTCATTCTCTACCCTAATTGTAAACTTTCTTTGCCTACTTCAAGGTAATGATTTTACGAAGTGGGTGTAATCTTAAACTCATACAACACATTCCTCTCTTCAATTCTCAAGTCTGATCATTTCTTTTTTCTAAGTTCATCTGTACCATTTAGTTGCTCATTTGTTTTTAATGGTAAATTGAAATTTTTTTGTTTTAAATCAAAATCTCTCTAATTTCTATGTGAATATATGTTTATTGCCGGTCTGTTGTAAGCTTCCTGTCTATTTTTCTATTTTTTTATTTTTGAGATTGGTTAATTTTTATTTTATTTATTTATTAGTGGGCTTTGTTTTTGTCTCCCTTTTTTTTAATGGACAGTATCCAAATACCCATTTTAATCAGATTTGGTTCAAATATAAGATTTTAAGTCGTTTAGGACAAATTCAATTATTTTTTGCATTACTCTCTCTCTCTCTCTCTCTCTCTCTCTCTCTCTATGCACTTATATATGTAATTGTTGGATGGAATTAAATATTTTTTTGTGGTGCTTCATTTTTCGAATTTTTTATTTTGTTTAAATGGAATTTTGTTTACGGGAAGTCGATAATTGGACTTTTTTTAATGTGAATAAATAGCTAGAATTTTTTCTGTTTCGCATTTTATGTATTATTTATATTTCGCATATTTTAGTGCTAAAAATTTAATCTTTCTTGAGTAATTATTTGGTTTCAAGATAATATGTTTATTTTTTTTTTGTTTATTTTTGCTTTGACTATGAATCAACGTATTTGAATATATGTTTCTCAACTTAGAAAGAATAAAACAAAAGTGCAGAATATGAGTGGAATTTATTTTTGGCCATTCTAAGTGAGAATTTTGTTTTTACTCTACGTGTAATTTGATGATATGTGTGGTTTCAGAATTTTATTAGTACAATAAGTTTTACTGGATATTTTAATGGCTGTGATATTATTATAGATATCGAATGTCGAATAGTTCTAAACATAACTTTTATGCATATTGTGTTGGTGAAATCTAAGAATGACTAATCCTGAGCTGCCTATAAGTTGGTTTTCTTCGGTTGTGATGGGAAGAGGTGGGGAGTTCAGAGCATTGTTCTTGCAAGTAGTTACTGTCTACAGTGCGAAGCTTTCTTGAAGAGGCTGGACTGCTTCTTCCCCGGCAGGGGCGGACCCACATGGGGTCATGTGGGGTCAAATGACCCCACAGTTTTTTTTTTTTAAATTTTCTGCTGCTGAAACGGTTATTTGGGTTTGGGGTTCCAAATTCCAATTAGTTATCCACTCCAATCCATTAATCCTATGAATTTATTTTCGTTAATGATACGTTGTTCGAAAAAAATTTATTTTTGACCCCACAGTCCGAAGTCTCTCGGTCCGTCCTTGTTCCCCGGTGCCCACAACCCTTTATTTATGTGGATGTTGAGGCAAGGCAAGCCCCGGAAATGTAGTGTAGGTTTGCTTCGAGCTCCACCTTAGGATGCATCCTGCTCCTGAGGTGGAGTCAGAAATCTGCCAAAAAAAAAAATAACAATAATAATAAATAAATAAATAAAATTGTAGCTTGGTTAGTGGGGTTTTTCTGCTGCTGTTTATCACTGGTTTTCTTATGGTTTATGATAGGTGCAAGTGTGCAACTGATTATCTAGCTTGTTCTTGGCCTGCATATTTGGGTGATTCTTCTGTAGTTATTTAAACAAGCGCCTACTTGAGGCCATTTTCTTTATTTCATCTATCAGCTCAAAATGATTTTTCCTTTACAAAAGAATAGATTTTAGTGCTGATCCACCTCGAAAGTATGTCGCCAGGTAAATGCGTTAGCACCCATGATTAGATACTGGAACACTTGTGTCTTTAATGCGAGTTTACCGAATTGCTTATTATGATTTGATCTCGAATTAATTAATTCCGATCAGGGAAGGGTAGCATAGTTTTTCTTTATGCCAGTCTCGTATATGAATTTTATGACCAGTTGAGCACGAACAAATAAGTAAATTTTATGTGCTAACGTAAATTGAAGACATCTCTGCATCCAATTGAGTGATTGATGAGTACTTAGAGAGTGCAGTGATGTTATATTGTGAATAGGTTTTCCTATTTGATCTTTCCAATAGTTACTCTGCAATTATCCAGTAGAGTCTCATTAACCATTGCAAAAACATTGTTTGGTTCAATGAATCGACTTGGAAATGTTTTCCTCTTATTGTAAAACAAGAAAAAAGACAAGTATACATGCACTAATTGTATTACCTATTTGATTCTTGAAGGATCAAAGCTAAAAGTAAAAATCCCTACATAAATAAAAAAGCAAAGCACGGCGGGACACGTGTCACTCATATCTTCCGTCATATACTTTTTTTTTTTTATTGTTTTCGACTGAATACCATACCGTTTGTCCATTATTTTCGATTGAATACCAGTCGAGCAGTTGAATCTCTCTAATTCGTAAGTATTTTTTTTGATTTTTTGTTCTTTTGAACTTGATCTTCATTTTTCTTAATAAGAATAACAACATTTTTTTAGGCAAAAAAAAAAAAAAAAAAAAAAAAAAAATTTTTGACAGTGATTAACCAAATGGAATTATGGCGTCTACATCCATCATCATAAATCTATGTAAAGAGTATGTGGTGTAATTTACTTTTGGAAAATCTGTTCACACTATCGTTTTTTGTTAATGCGTCACATTTAATAGAAATAAAAACATCCGTAATCTTTGGTCTTTATTGCACTTATATCCTCATTTTTTTCCATCACCTATGTTATGAATAAAGAAAGATATATGTGCAAGAGCATCAATATTTTAAGAGGAAACCTAAGACTCTTTTTTTTTTTTTTAATTTTTTTTTTTTTTTTTTTTTTTTTTTTTTTTTTTTTTTTTTTTTTTTTTTTTTTTTTTTTAATTTTATTTTTTTTTTTTTTAAAAAAAAAAAAAAAATTTTTTTTAAAAAAAAAAAAAAAAAAAAAAAAAAAAAAAAAAAAAGAAGTAGAAGCCCTCTTTAGCTAAAACTCCATGCGTGCACGAAGCAACAACAAATTTTTTTTATTTTTTTATATATATATGTGCTTCATGGAACAGAATTTTTTTTATTTTTTATTTTTATTTTTTTTATGCTCCGGGGAACAACAAAAAATTTACTTCATTTTGAAAACTTCTGTTTAATGTTCTTGTACCAACTTTTGACATAGAAATAAAGTCTTGAGAAGGATAGTAAATTTCTTTCCAGATGATCGCAATAATATATATTTCTTCTTAAATATCTCTATTTTCAAATGCTCCGAAAATTTAAATATTGGTTGATACAACTAAGACAAAAGTTTCCACAACCACCAACTGAATATATGAATTATTTGAAAACAAGATTCATGCTGGGCGTCTTTAATCTGCAGAACTATGATAAGAATTTTAAAAAAGAATTGTTGACTGACAACACCTTACCATTGTTAAATGACAGGTAATCATCAAATCATTACTTATATTTAGTTAAGAATACATTCGTGACATAAAAGTTCAATAAAATTAATAGCAAATGTTCATATAAAGAATCAAAATATAAAAAGAAAATTAATAACAAGTACATTCATTTGAACTAACTCACGAATAGATTTCATATTTTTGAATAAATTTCTCCAAAATTTACGTGCATTTATTTTTAACATTAACCAACCAAAGCGCAACGCATGTTATGCACACTAGTCTTCTGAAAAAAAATAGCAAACACAGTATAGATTCTTTAGATAAATGTTTCTTCAATTTCCAAACAAGTTCCTAACTAGCTCCTACTTCAGTATCATAAAAAATAATTTAGTTTTAACTTTTATCAATAAATTTTTTAAAACATCATTTCTAATTTATAAGTAAATTTTCCTAGTACATTTCAAAAAACAAAAAAAAATTACTTTAATAGTTAACTATTTTTAAAGCTTAGCCAAATATGCAGTTTGTGCAATACAGCAACCCCGTCATTATTGAAACAAAATGCAAAAAATTTGATGCACAAAACGCAACAAAACAAAATGTAATTTAAGCCAGATAATAGTAACATGACTCCACAGCAAAATTATAAAAGAGGATTCCGGATTTGTCAGGTTTAAGAGAATGTTGCTTCAAGTTCGAAGTTGTAATGCAATCCTCAATTAAAGCCACTGAATGGTTACGAAGCCAAGAGAGCTTCAATTTTGGCAATCTGATCTTCTTCATTCTTCGGGGTCGGGCTCCTGTTCGACTCCTCGTAAAGATCATGCTTCCATTTCTCAACACGGCCACCAGTTGGACGATAGCCTTGCCTTCCACCCAGCCAATCTCTGCCCCTGTAACCACTGCTGGCACCATACCTATCTCTGGATGAGTTACCCCTCCCTGCTTCACCCCTTTTTGCCTCCCTCTCCCCCACGACTGATCTCTCGGGCCTGTCATAATTACGTGAGACATGCTCTCGCACACCTTGTCTTTCATTTCCCACCGGCTGATCTTGAAGTTTTGCTATTGCCTTGTCAGTTTTCTCAGGAACCGAGGGAATCTTTTGCTCTCTAAAGGAAGGTCTTTTACGTACAGGTGGTTTTGGATCAGCCTCCATTTCGAAGTACCCATCATGGCGCCATACACGATTATCTTCAGGTTTCTCGTCTTTTTGCTGTGTATCACTTCCTACTGCTTTCTTCTCCATCCTGTCGCCATACTGCTCCTTCGGATCTTTCCTCCATTCTTCACAACAAAATGATTTAAATTATGTTTTGGCATGACTGACATGCATAGTTTGATCATTAACTACAAGTCGCCAGCTGGTGTAAACAATAGAAGGCTCTTTGACGATCTTGAAATAAACTTCATCAACCTTTCATTATAGTCTGGACAATAAGTTTTCCCAGAATGACACTGTCCAAATCTTCAAAAAATTGTCAAGTGACCTTCATGTGTCCAGCTTTGTAAAACTAAGTTTTGTTTCCATCTTGGACTGCTGTCCAGAAAGTTCAAGCGAGGCCGTGTTTCCAAGAGGACCACACGACAATTTAATGAAGATTTGAACAGTTTCAGTTGTTTGGGACTTGATTGTGCAATTATGACAAAAAATTGAAAACAAACATGATACCAAGTCAATAGGTGGGGACTAACGGTACTATTTATTCAGAAAAAATTTCAACATAGTGATGCCCCAACTCTCAGGCAAAACAATATTTAGCCCTCCTTTGATGACCATTATTTGGAAAAAACAATGTTTTGGATAGTGATTTTTAGGAGAATGTATAGTTAAAAAGTAAGAAAAAGTTTTGAATTTGCGTACAGAATATTTTATTATGTAATTGCGGTTGATTATGAATATGTGGAAAAAGAAGTTTTCAAATAATAGTTGTCAAACAAGGGCTTAACATTACTTATCAAAACCATTAAATTAAGTAAATTATTGTAAAAATAATGTTATTTAGTACCACTGATGTTAAAGCATCAATTTAGATGGCACTAATGTGACATTAAATGAGATGTATAATTAAATGAATCACTTAACTCTACCTCTCATTGATTCTATCACTTAGCGCCTCCTAGATTATTGTTGTAGCACCAATAGCATTGTTCTTATTTTAAGGCACAAGGAAAAGATACGGACACCTGTTGCATAGTGGGTGCTCACATGGGTTAATTCTAACGAGGAAGGAAAAGGAGCTTAGAATTTGGCATAGTTTAAATTGCCGGTTTTCTATAGGAATGACACTGACCAACAGGACAAGGAAACAAATTGTCCACTTTCTAGTTGCTACTCGAAACAATTCCATAGGCTGTTGACAAACTTCAATGTCCCACTATATTCCCTGCTAAATAGAAATTTAACCCTAGGAGTAGTTGCTTATAAGTTTCTCTCAGTTGACAAAAAATGAGTATAACTTAAACAAGTTCACAGGATATCCGATTTTGTACATGTATAACACTGAAATCACCAACCTCGTAATATTTACATTAGACTCTCACTGCAAAGCATAGTTAAAATCCATTAAATAATAAAGAGTAAACAGCATAAAGATTGGAAGATTAAATCAGCATTAAAATCTTACCAGTATCTGTCCTGCGAATGAAGCTTCTCCCAACTTGCCCGGCACTACGACGATCATCGTGCTGTATAAGACATGCATAGGCAAGCCTAATTCTGTTATATAAACTGAGGTAGGTTTTTTCTTCAAAAAACCGTTGATATCCAAGATTTATTCTAAAACCTGGTTACAATGAATAGATAACCTGAAGAGGGAGGTCATGTGAAATTTAAACATAGAAACTGAGGTAGTTGAAATCATCAGGCTAAATGAAAATCCAAATTATATCAGCGCTGGGCAATACATTTAGCAGAATGAGTAAGCAACCAAATTATGCACCCCAGAAATTTTTTCCTTTGTTTTTCAGTTGAACACTGAAGATGCGTAAAATGATCAATCATATATTACCTGGTAATTCTTAATTTCCCTTTCTCTACATGTTTCAAAGTAAGGCCAGAGAAATTTCATTGAGTGTAAATTAGATGGTTCAACTACTTTTGAAGAAGGGTTTATTTATAAGATTTGACAAAGTTTTATGATGAACCATAAATATAATTCAACTCATGCCCTTTCAGCTGAAAACTAACTTATGGTAAAAGATTCAAATAAATTTATTACATTGGATGTGAGATTAGAGGGCCTCTGTGCCTGTTTGACCATGAATATTGCAACAACCATTTGCTCATTTATCAATGCAATATGTAGGCAACACATACGCTCCAATTAGAATAATTGATTTCTACACTATCCCTAAAATACCACACATCAGAAATAAAATTACTTGTCATTTTCAAAAAAGATCCAATCATCAAGTTTTGGAAAAGATAGTGGACTATCAACGATGGCAGGAGCAGAAAAGTCTAAAGAAGCTGATATCCATAAAATTTGTAAACATAATACCAGCCAGTATATGCACAAGTAGATGAAAAGGACTACAAGAATACTTCCTATAGTGCTACAAGAGTATTTATTCGTAGTTACAATACCTGAAAGTACGATTGGGACCGAGGTATTTTAGTTGGAGAATGTTTGGTTCCTTCATAGTGTCCGTTAGTCTTGTTTTCGGATTCTTTGCCAACAGCTTGAGTTTCAACCTTAGATTCCTGTGCTGATGTTGCCTCAAGGGGCAATGCATCCTGCAGCCGACGTCGGAGCTTCTGATCCCGGTCCAAATGATCGTTATGCAATTCGGTGTCAGAAGGCAGTCTTTCAGTAGCTGGTTTACCATCCCTTCTAGATCTCTTAGGACTAGCAGGATGCAAGAGGGAATGGATCATGTTGGTGGGTATTTATTCAATTACTACCAAATACTTGAACTACATTCTATGTAATGAATAATCAATATGCTTACCAGAGAATGTATCGAGAGCATAAAGCATGGTGCAAGTAAAAACACAAGTTCAAAATTATGCAACGCTCAATATTAATTCATGCATAACATTTTTCTTTCTTTTCCTCACCACAACAATCCTATGAACCTATTGCAAAGAAATGTCCTTTTTTCTCCTTCTTGGCAAGGAAAGAGCAGATGAAATGAAATTCAGAGGAAAGGTAAACATTATGATAAAATCCAAGGTATCAACCTCAATGTTTTCTAGTGACGCAACTGCTAAAACACATGTCAAGGGTGTAGTACAGACAGGTGCCATCTATGGATCCAAAAGCCAAGGCTAATGAATGGTATTGACAAAAAGATAATTGCAAATGTAAACGTGCAGAATCTACTTAAGCAATACAATTGAGCTTATCAACACGGAGAATCAACTTGAAAAAAAAAATAAAAATAAAAAAATCCTTTCAACGTTTCAAAATGGGCCACCTGGATTCACTTAAACATGCTGGCGGCCAGTATAAAGCCAGAATTTCTCCAAGAAATTAAATCAAGCGCAATAACAGGCAAGAGATTTTTACACTTAATCCCGCACTTCCGTCATTTTTTCCTGAACGAAGAATCCAAAATTTCTGAAAATAACTCAGCCCTATTCACGTACTTCAGGAGAGAATAAATCCGAGCCTCCATATTTACAAATAACTAAAACTTACAAGCTTATAAATTAATCGCATTCGTGTCATCATGTCTATTGTAACAAAACCCTAAGTTTTAGGATAATAAAAGAAAATTCTTAAATCCGGTCTCGAAGAAATCTAATTTCATTCCAAAAGCAGAAACCTTGACAAAAATGAAAAAAAAATTCGATCGTCAGGCAGAAAATGAAAATGTAAATATAAAAAATACAAGAAAGGGGTGGAGTTTTTTTTACCTGGCTTCACGGTCGAACCGCGAACGGTGACGTTTCGAGTCGTAATTACGGTCTTCTCGACGCGACATTAGGGCTGATGTGGTGCAGAAAGTGGGAAATTCTCAGCTGTATATAGATCCAAGTCAAAGAGTATATATCGATGCAAACGACTGAACAACACAAATCAGTAGGGTAATACCAGTCAGTAGAGGAGGAAGAGGAGTTAATTGTTCTTGTCCACTAAACTTCGAAAAACATTGTATGTTATTCATTAGCACAGCTTCTAAGCCTCTATCGTAATGGGTGATGTGGCCGATGAAATGCAACGTGACGCCCCATCACCCTATTAAACTTTGAGATGGTCTAATTTTGACTATTAAACTTTAAAAAATATTTTCTATTGCTCAATAGACTTTGAGGTGATCGAGTTATAACCACTAAACTTTAAAAAACGTTGACCTTCGGCTACTAAACTTTGAAATAGTCTTATATTGCTTATTATAAATTTGGATTTAACTACATATCTATACAATAAAATATTTTACATATAAACTCAAAATTTTTCTCAACTTTTTAACTATGTATTCTCGAAGAAATCACTATAACACTGAAATTTGTGAAATAGATTTCGTTTTGATTAATAACCAAATCCATTAAACACAAAAAGTCCAATAACATTGCAAATCCAAATCAGCAGGACTCTCGTTTAATAGAGCCGTAGCATTTCCATTAATAGGTACCTTGTACTAGAGATTGCAACTGGGCTCGTCGGTTGGGGGCTGCCCGTGGCTCTGCTCGGAAAAAAAGCTTGAGCCGACCGATGTGGCTCATCGGCTCGGGCTCACAGGCCTTTTAAAAAAAATGGGGTTAAAGGACAGCGTGTTGCTACTTGTTTTAGGCAGTAGGCTGCCTTCAAAAAATGGCAGCAGATGCATTTTTCAAGGGGGGAAAAAAAGGTCGAGCATAGCTCGCCTTGATAAGGCCCCGAGCCAAAAGTTCAGGCCGAGCCTAATTTTTTTGACCAGGCAAAGCTGCGCTAGGCTCGAGCTCGCAAAAAGTTCGAAGCATTATACTTGAGCCAAGTTCGACCTTGAATTTCGACTCGTCAGCCGACTTGACTCATTGACACCACTTGTATTATGGATGAAGAGGTAGGTCCCCCATAATGACACAAACATTGTTCAAACCAAACCTCTGGGATGTCGATGAAGAAGTGAATCCTAGGATTCATATGAATTCGGAGGTGATTTTCAATTGATGTTATGTGAATCTAATGAGGGTCTTTGGTTTTTGTTTTTGAGGAGGAGAAATCATTATTTCAATAATTAAAGGGAGTGCAAGTCCATCAACAACATTTTTGTCTTTTTTGTCCACAATTAAAGGCGTCTACTGTCATATTAGATTTCCATAGAACGCTCGGAGTTTTATGCCCAACTGGATAGACGAAAGTGAAAAGGGTGATGGATGTATACAGTTTAAATATTTGGGTGAACATTCAGTGATCTTTTATTTTTTGGTGAACAAGTAGTAATCAAGTATAAATGTTAGTGATTAATAATTTAATTAAGTCAATATATGCATGCTTTTATTTAATTATTTATTTATTTTTAAATGTAATACTATTTCATATTGCTACTTTAATGATCAAATGGAAACGTAAAAATAAAATTCTCACATGAATAAAAGTATTTCTTAAAAGAATATAAAAAATATAAGCCATCTCAATTAGAGAAATAAATATCCAAAAATACCACAAAAATTATAACATTTCTCTTGACCTCAAAAAATGTACTCTTTGTCAACAGATCTTAAAGTCTCTCACGTCCGTGTAAACTTTATTCCTACACATTAGGACAAATCGTTAGTTGCACATGGCTTTCTCCGATAGGGGTGGAGCCGGCTGCGTGTACTCCGACGATCAAGTCAGTTACGAGATAACAAATATGTGGGTGTGGGGAAACTTTGAACGTGAGCCTCCAAAATAAGGGGGTCGGCTTTGGGAATAATCTAAAGAAGACGAAGTTATAATATGGAAGTATAAACTTGCATTATCTTGGAATGACATTAAGTGTAAGCTTTTATAGTATAAGAGAATGAGTAAGGATCATCGGATGAAAAGACACGTGACCCCATCCATGTGAACATCAATCAATCATGGGAACTAGATGCCAATACCATTTTGTCATCCATAAATTTTAGCTTGTGACAGTAGACTTGACTAAACAGGTTGATTGTGATGACAGTGGCAGAGAGTTGTCATATCAATCATGTCCATATATTTGACTACAAGATTTCCTACCAGATTCTTTCCCTGGCTTCGCCTCCACTCATTGAGGCTTTTGTGTGAGGTTCAGTCATGTGGGTTCGCATGCAAGGGTCCATCCATATGGGTCACGTGAGTTACATGGGTTTGGCTGGGGGAGGTATAACAATTTCAGTACTTTTTGATGAAAATAAAAAATTCTGATGTCCAATATTACTAATATGTATAAACCTATAGAAAGTAATTAATTACAAGTTGATCTATAGAAAGTTATCAAAATTAAACAACCAACCAATATAAAAAAACTAAATTACAAATTGATCTATTCTTTTATAAATTTTTTATTACAAATTGATATATATATACACACACACACACTAGATTTTTGCCTGTGTATTATTTTTAAGGTAATATTAGTGTGTCAAAATATTACGGTATGAATGATAAATTTGCACAATTAAATAGCAATAACTTATATACCAAGTAATTGATAAACCAACCTATGCTATAAATATATTAAAAAACAACACATAATTACAGTGTCAAAAATTTGCACACTCTAACTTCATTTTTCTATGTAACATACCATATTAAGTATATTTGCATGTTAAGAGAAGTATGTTATTAGACTTGATACCTTCATCAAAAGGTGACTTACTTGGTAGTAGTGACGTGAAGAGCTTTAGTAGACGTTCTGATCAGTCTCTTGACTTTGAAGGCCGTCTTTAACACCATGAACGAAATGAACATAAACTGTAAACAAAAACAAGCGAATAGAGTATCAAATTAGACAATTATAAAGATTATTATAATCAGAAATTATATAATAACTAAAATTAAACAAGTCACTAACGATGAAATTTTTTTCTGTCTATATTGGATCCTATCCAACAACTATAAGAATTGTTGGTAATCAAATTGGAATACAAATCCAACGTTCCATGAAGAACCACTTAGTATCACAAAAACAGAGTTATATTCTATAAATTATTCGATTTCACGAGTGATATTGTGCACCCTTTAACGACAAAATAGTAATACATAAAAGAAGCCCCCCAGGGCACATCCAAGTTGGCGGAACAATCACATTGGGGGGCTCTGAAACCAAGCGTGGGGAGTTCGATTCCTGGTGGGAACATTTGATCCAATAAAGGAGGAATTATTGGTGGATTAATCACCATGGAGGAGGCTCATTTTGGGGAAGGAGTAAAAGCCATGTGGGAACCTGGGAACCAACAAGGGCACATCCTGCGATTTACCTCCCTGAGCAGCTGAGGGGCCGGAGGTTCAGGGACGAGGATATAGTCTGGCGCAAGTTGGGACACCTCGTTAAAAAAAAAAAAAAAAAAAAGTAATACATAAAAGAATAATGCTACAACACTCAAGTGGAATGACAAAGTTGGGTTACCAACTGACGTGGCCTCTTTTAAAATTAAAAAAAAGTCTAAAAAATTAAATTTGAAATTCAAATCGCAGTCTCTCTCTCTTCCATTACCTTCCACCTTCTCTCTCTCTCTCTTTCCATTGGATTTTCCCCCAACAGGAACTCGCACAGTCCCAACCCCTCATCGCCAGCGTCTCGCACTTCGGGGTCCCGCACCTCCGGCGTACTGCATCTCCGACGACTCCCCACCTCCAGCGTCACGCTTTTAATTTAATTTTCCTTTTGTGCCCTTTTCTTTTTCAACAACCGTCCGTCCACTGAGAAATTACAGCCCCACCGCCATCAATCAGTCCCTATTTCCACCCTTTTAAAAACCCTCACGTGCGACGTTGTTTGGCTAATTCTATCACAGCAAATTTATACTCCGGTTCTTAAACAATCCGAGGTGTTATCGCGTTCCAATCAAATCAGTTTAATTTGTGTGCAATGGTTTACATGATGTTTGTTTATTTGCTGCAAATCTATATACAATGACTGAATTTGAGTCGGATTTTCTTTTATGAGTTCGGTTGTTTGTAAATTGCTCAACTTATGGTGCATGGTATGGAACTTACACTGTGTGGATTGAGGTTTACGATTGCGTTTGCGTTTGTGGGGGGTGAATATTGGTGAGATGATCATTTCCATGGTAAAATAATGCGGGTGCTCGAACAATTGTTAGGTCATGCTGCTGTGAATCTGTGATATTTTTGTTTATGCATTTATTGATATGCAAAAGGGGTGGACACGTGATTTCTAGGGAAATATTGTGAAATGCAAATTGGGTTCTCAAATTTTTGGTGCTTTCAATTTGGATTCTTCACTGGGGTTGAGTTTTGACTTGGTTGTTGAGAAATTTGGATCTGTCGTACGCTGTTCTCCTACCATTGTTGACAGTTCCATGGTTCGACAGACTGTGAATTAGAAATGGAACCTTATTTGTCTTTAATTGCAGTTTTTTGATATGTAACACCTTACTAGTTTATGCAAATGTCTGGTGTTAGTTAATGCTCTATCTCACTAGTCTAAAGGCATGTATGTCAAGTTTATGGAATTTTGTTTCATTTCCCCAATGCCAAGAACAAAAGGAACTATTATTAAATTCTATGCAAGATTTTTTAACACCAATATATATGTGGATTGCTTGTATAATTTTGAATGCATTTCTTTAATCCATCAAGTGCTTTTACTCTTTATTTCCATTTGATCATCTCAGTACAATTTCTTCTAGACTTTAATAATCATTGTGTGTGTGTTTATATATCATTTTTATGCTTTATAGACATCTCAGTACAATTTATTCTTGTTTATGCTTAAATTATTGATCATTTCATGTTCACTTTTACGACTGAATGCTAGGAAGGAACTTCGTTTGCTGTACTAAAGGCTGCGGTCATTTTGACTAGAAAGATAAAAGACAAATCTAGAGGCGAATCAAGTGAAGGCAATGATCTATCAAGTATGTTAGAGAAATGTGCTCAAATCACAGAAAAGAGAAACGTCGAGATAACTATGAACATTATGTTCCGCAAGGGTAAAGGAGATGCCAAGGATGAAGGAAACCAAAAGGGAAAATCTCCATGAATTATTTTGGCTTAGTATTTTGCTTTGTTTGTAAACTTTCTTTTAGATTGAAGTTG